AAAGGAGCATACAACCCATGGTGGTTGGGCTGTCTTCTTTGACCAGGTACAGAGAGCAGAGGGTTATATGACCTCTGATTGGAAGTGGCACATGGGGCAGATATTGATGACATGTGAGGAACTGATCGGAATTCTGTGTGCCTTCAAACAGGAAGGGGAGTTGCAATTAGGGCTAAAGAAGCAGCAGGAAATGGTAAGCATTCCCGCTTTGGCCTTCTGCCATGTTAGACCGCTGCCATAATTGTAGAGTAATTTATAGTAAGGCAAGAACCTTTCAATATGATAACACATAACACCATGCCAGACTTTAGTGTATGTCCTGAACAAGAAACTGAGAATGACATGATATAGCTCTTAAAGTTAATATTGATTTGCTGCTTATACATTTGTTTCCTATTGTTCTTATATTTGCTTTGGCATATGCCAGCTCCCATTAACAGAAAAATATCTAGAGGCAGCAGTGAGGGACAGAAATTTGGAAAAGAAACCTAAATTTGAGAAAATTTTGTTTGTTTAACAGGGTATGGTGGGGAGAGAGAGAACGGTAGAGGCAGAGAAAATTCTGTTAATTCAGTTTTATTGGTAGAAAATCTAGCTCCATTTGCTAATAAACAGCCTAATCCACTGGGAACATTTTTCTTTCTGAGCAATTGGTTTAGAGCAGTACCTACTCCAGTTGGGAATCTCTGTGCACCTTGTTATTAAATACAATTATTTAGCACAGATAAGAGAGTTCATTCTTCTTGGGTAACTTAGATCAGTAGTTTGACTCTGCCATCTGATTTCATTGCAACCCAAATTTGTTTTCTTCTCTAAAATATATGTTAAATAAAGCAACATAAAGTGTCAGAAAATACTATTTTTTTGGTACCAAGGATCAAACTCATGACCGTGCACCTGCAAAGTGGGTGCTTATGCCACTGAGCTAAATCCCTGGCCCCAGAAAATACCATATATTTTTGTTAACATCAACTCCTGTTGATTTTATTAACATTGACATTTAGAAGGAATCTTTGTGATGATGTAATTTCCTGCTGAAGCTGGAAATGCCCTTCCTTGTAGACTGACCATTTTTTTTAAAAAAAAAATTGTTTTTGTGTTTGCTTTTTCTTTTTGAAACACGGTCTCACTATGCAGTTCAGGCTGAGCTTGAACTCAGCTTTGTAGTTCAGGCTGGCCTTGAACTCTTGGTGATTCTCCTGCCTCAGCCTTCTAAATTCTGGCATTCCAGTTGTGCACCACTGCACCTGGCTAGATTGATCATTTAATTTATGAAAGTTGATCATTTTTGAGAATGAAAGTGATGGAAAAAATGAATTGAGTGGGTCCTTGGAACAAAAGGAAGTTGTTCTGAGAAAAATGGGTGTGTGGTTACCTGAGTTATGCCACAGCCTTGCCAAATCATCATCTGAACTGTACACAAAAGCATTTTTGACTCATAAAAAAGGCTTGTGCCTTGGATAGTTGTAATGATAACATGTTTTTAAAAATTGAGCTAAAATTTGTCTCATTGCAACTGTTTTTACTTCCAGTTTTGCCCTTTTGGTACAGAATGTAAATATAGTCATAATATAGTAGCATACAAAATATACCAGCCTTTTAGGTACTATTATTATAATTGTTATTATTATTAGTACTATTATTTGAAGGTTATCAGGAATTGAACTCAGGACATTGCCCTTGCCAGGCAGGCGATCTGCTGTACCCCCTTCCTAGGTAGCTTTTTAAGAAACAACTTTAAAATGATTTTTACCCACTGTTTTCTTGCTGTAGGACACAAATTAAAACTGAAAAGAAATGAGTTGACACATTTAAAGAAATAAGCCATATTGTCAGTGAGCCTACAATAGCCACACCCTCGAAGCTGTGATGCAGGGCACTGCTTGCTGAGCAGAGCACAGTGCACATTCTCACCTTGTACTTTTAGGCAACATTCAGTGAAGTATCTGGCTTCAAAAAATGAAGCTTCTAGTTACTACATTAATATTTTATTACCTTAAGATGGAACTCATGGCTAAACTGTAGGAGATATGCCAATTAGAAGAAGCAGTAGTGTAGACACCAGAAGGTTAGACTTCCAGTTAGAAACTGTCGTAATGCTCATGGTGTTCTTGTCACTGAAAATACTCAATGTAACCTGTAAGACTAGCTACTGGTACTTTTAAGGCAACCCTCTTAATCATCGATTTTCCTTTAGATAAAAATTTATAGCTTATTCAGTATGCAACTTTTCTGACCTCCCTGGTTACTATATTAAAGACAGATTTTTGTTTTGATGTGTGACATTGTACTGCCCGCAGTTTTTTCAGGAAGTTCGTACTAGAAAGAAGGAAAATGATTGTTTCTGAGATGATGTGAAGATAGGGCACAAAGCCTGGTTCATCACTTTGTGTGTGTTGGTCCCTCTTCACCTTCATTCCTGCTTTTTTGTTTAAATAATTGTTAAAGATATAAAATAGAACCTTCAGACAGCACAATTAGGGGAATTATTCCCAGATAGCATCGTCTGATTTGATAATTTGATTTGAGCCATTGTATGAATGTATTTAAAAGGCAGTTATAGTAAAGCAGTTACATTTTGTTGCTTGCAAAGATGTCAGCATTAGAATGTTGCATTTAAATAAATTGAGCTATATCTAATGTGGGTAGAGCCTCTTGACTAAGTTAATGAGTTTTATTGTTGATGCATAACTAAGGTACACTGTGTATCATAATCTTGTATAAACAAAACTGTGTTAGGTAGGGCAATAAATTAGGATATGTTTCACAGGCTCCAGATTTTATTTTGGAGATCATATGTAACAGTGCCTAAACTTAGGCTTTTTCATTATGATTGAGTAAGCTTTGTCAGGTTTTAAAATGAATTAGTCATTGTAGACACTACATTTATGTATTGTATTTCATATGATAAGGAGTACTATCTTGGAAGAAACTGGAGGAGAGTTGTCATAGAAGGTTTTTTATTTAGTAAAGTTCATTATATCTACATTTGCAACTTTAATAGAAGTGGATAAGTGGCTTTCTTTTTTTGACACCTTCACTGTTACTTAGTTGTTTATATTGCCAAGTAAATGTCTGTCTTTTATTTATCTTACCTTGCTCATCTGACATTTTTGCTCTTAAAATTATAATGAATTAAAGATGACTAGATAAGAAGTCTCCTGGGGAGCTTTTACTGGAACAGGATGGAAAGTGCTTTGTAATACAGATGTAAAGTATCACCAGTCAAGAGGTGCTTATTTAATACCTATTTGAAAAGTGCAACAGGTAAATGGAAAGCTCATGCAAAACCCTTAATGGTTATTTGAACTTAGAATTCAGTTTCTATTACTTGATTTTATTTCTCAAACCTTGATGCTCTGATGTCTGTGGAAAAAGTTGCTTTAGTATTTTGAGAAATAATTTAGGTATGTTTATCATGGCTCTGTTAAAAGTTATAATTCATTAACTGACAGAAATGTTTTTCTAGTGTGATCACTTACCAAGACATAGGCAAATAGCTTAGCAATAGTAAATTTACTGCCCTTTTTGTTTAGAGAGTGTGTGTGTTGCGTGTATGTCTGTGTGTGTGTTGTTCTTAAGAGGCAAGTTATTGACTGCTTATTTTGGCACCTCATAATTTCTGTCTTGAGTTCAAGGAATAAAATACACTAAATCAAGAGAAGAAGGGAAGACAAATATTTATTAAGTGTCTCCTCTATTAGTTGTTATTACTAAATACTGTCCAAATATTACTTGGCAATCCTATGAGGATTTTGACCACATTTAGTACTTACAGATAAATGTTGAGGCATGGAGAAGATAAGTTTACTATAGCTTCTAAAAGCTAGAACAGAATTTTCATCCTGTTCCTGAAATCCAAAATCTGTGTTGGTTTTGCTGTATCATAGCGTTCAACATTCTTACATGTACTAGCTCTGTGACAAAATTTCACCAAGAGATTGTTTTTAACATTGAATTTCTCAAAATAACAAGCATTAATTAAAATAATGAGCATTGAATAGTATTGCAAACTATAGTTTCTTTTCAAAATATGATTCTAGTTTAAAAGTAACAAACTTTAATAAGACCTCTTTCTGAAATAAGGATCAATTATACTACCTCCTTGATTAATCACTTCTTGTGGTATTAATACCTGTAGTTATCAATTTCTTAAAGGATGATCATTTCTTTTTAAAATTTTTATTAGATGTTTTCAGTACATGTGGACATCCTACATTTTAATTCTTTTTATTTTCTGTCCCTTTACTTTCTGTCTAATTTCATTTAATTCTGTTTAATTTCCTTCCCCTTCCTCTCCTCTGTTTAACGCCATTTAGTTTAATTCCCTTCTCCCTCTCTCCTACCTGTCTCTACCATTTGACCCATAACAAGTCTACAGCCATAGTGCTTGGGTTTGACTTTTGAATTTACCTTTTCTAGTTTTCGTTATGTTTGGCAAGTTTCTGTACCTCCAGGATTGGTTGTTTGTTTCTTTTTTAAATGTTTGTTTTTTTTTTTTTTTTTGTCATTTTTTTTGTCATTTTTATCGGCACCAGGGATCAAACTCACGACTGCCTGTTTGCAAGGCAGGCACTTATGCCGCTGAGCTAAATCCCCAGCCCCTTTAAAATGTTTTTTATAGTTGGGAAAATTTAGAGTATTCCATATTTTTAGAATGTTTATGCTTTGTTATTCTACTATATGATTCAGATTTTATTTCCAATTACAGATTCAGGAATAGCAGAGATGGTAGACAATAACTACTAATGGATTTCACAATATGAATGCATTTTGAATCATAAAACTAAGCAGTTTTGAACATCATCTTTGTTGTAAAGAACCTGTCACTGTTCTAAACTTCATACTGACTGTCTTTTAAAAACTTTGTTAGTCTTTTTAAATGTTATTTTTGTGTTTGGTCAAAAGGTGATCCTTTGCCTGAAATGATCTTTTAAAATTAGTTTAAGTTAAAAGTAAGTAGTATTACATTAATTTTTCTTTTTCCTTTGTTCTCTTAGCTTCACAACGAAGAGGACAATTCAGAGTCACCTGCTACAGAGCAACCGTCCACATCTAACTCAACACCACAGGTCGTGCAGGTTGCTTCTTCAACGCCAGCACTTGAAACTGACACTTCTCCTCCACCTTACAGTAGTATTAACATGGAAGTACCTACAACTTCAGGTGTGAAACAGCTAGGAATGTCTTCTCTAGTTTCCTTTTTTTTTTTTTTTTTTATTTGTTTTTGTAGTATGGTTTTGTGCAATTAGCGAGTGTGTTAATGAGTTTTAAGCATAAATGCATATATAGTACATATTCACACATTTTTATGCATGCATATACATGTGCATCTATAAATATACACCTACACATACATATATACATGTCTGCCTGTGTGTGTACATGCCTACATCTTTATGAAACAGTGTTAATGAGTAGGTAGAAATGTGAGTAGAGTTGAAGGACATACAAAGTTGTACATGCAGTAGTAATTCTGAATGTAAGGCATTGATTACTGTTATCTTCTCCATTCAGGTCACCCTAGAGAAGCAATCTTAGTTATTTCTCTTGGCTATATTTTTTGTTTGTTTGTTTTTTGGTACCGGTAATCAAACTCAAAACCTCGAGCAGGTTCTGGCCCAGTTTCCTTTTTTTTTTTGGTGGTGCTAGAAATGAAATTCAGGGCCTTGTACATGCAAGGCAAGAACTCTACCTCTGAGCCATGTCCTCAGCTCTGGCTACAATTTGTGTTTTCTGAGCAATGGCAAATTAGTTATTATGATAATTTGTATACTATTTTTAATATGATTAACTTCAAAATCTAACTTCTTTGTTTTATTTATTCATTATGAAACAGTTACTTTAAAAAAGAATTACTGAAAAACATTGTAACAGAAAAAATTCTTCATTAGAATATGTTTGTTTTAAGGGTAGTTTGGGATTATCTGTATCAGTTTTGTGAGATTTCTCATTATCTCTTTAGGGAGATTATCTCTCCTACCCACTAAGATTAAGACTTAAAACCACTAGACTAAAGACACTCAGAGCAAGATCCGTTTTAGCATAATACCACTTCCACCCTCTGAATCATCTGATAATCCCCTCCTCAATGAATCAGGTTCTGGCTGCCTGCTAGTCTTTTGTTTCTCATGAATAACTGATCATCTCAAATCCCCATTGTGCTGCCAAAAAAAAAGCAAAAAACATAAACAAAACCAAAAAAACTCAAAATTTCAGTCTTATTGTGTATTTAATGTCATTTGTCTCAAACTCATAATCAACTCTTTCTTGTTACCATTTTACATTTGCATTGTGTAAGGTCTTCATTGCTTTCATCAAGTTTATTTACATTTTTTATTCAGTTCTGAAAATTAATTGAAATTGTTTCAATTAATAAGTGCATAGTCCTTTTATTTGTATATAGTATTTGATCAGTGTGCCAAACACAATACAGAACTTCATGATTTTTTTTTTTTTTTTTTGCTGGCTGAGGCTGGAGCCAGGACATGCTAGGTACCACCTGCCATCCCTCCTGCACATATTTTGTCTTAATTTCCATCAGTCATTTCTTTGGCTTTAAGACTTAGCAGTTGGTTTCTTGCTTGTTAACATCTACTGTGTGCTAAAGTTTTTTCATTATTTCCAAATTTCCAGAATACAGCATAATGAATTTGCTTCCTTGTATTTAAAAAAAATCAAATTGAAAATGGAAATGTAGTTCAGTGGGAGGCCCTGTTTCAATTCCCCACAGCTCCAAAATAAAAATGATTTGATAATAATCTTGAAGAAAGAAAATGAGTTGTTTTCTCAATGATATTTATGACTAACAAGTGTAGGATACTAATTTTAAGATTAAATTTGTGGTATCTTTTGGGGGAAATCATTGCTATTTTTGTGTAACAAATGACTCCAAACTTCATGGAATGAAAATGATAATCATTCATTCTCACGTTTTTTAGAGTGGACTGGGCTCAGTAATGTTATTCTTCCCCAAAGTCACATGGGTTTTTCATCTGATGGTGGCCTTCATCTCAAAAGCTTCTTTTTTACATGTATGGTGCTGATTGTAGTGTCACTTGGAACTTCAGCTGGAACTGTTGGCCAGAACACGTGTATGTGGCCTCTTCAGGCCTATACTTCTTCAGTGATAGGATTCCAAGAAATGCATTCTAGGAGAAAGCCACCTGTAGGCCATCTTGCCTGTGGTGCTATTGCCTCAAAATTTATGCAGTGTCACTTCTATCCTTTTGGTTTGTTAGAAATGAGTTAATGAGTTCTGTTCTTCAAAAGAAGAGAAATTGGTCTCTGCTGTCCTTTCAAAGAAAAAAATTAGTCTCTACTTTTTTTTTCTTTTTTTGAGACAGGGTCTCACTGTGATTCCAGCTATCCTTGAATTCCTGATGATCATCCTGCCTCAGCCTCCTGAGTACTGGGATTGTAGGCACGCACCCCTGTGCCTGGTTTAGTCTCTGTTTAGTGACAGTTTCAGAGAATTCAAAGGCTGACTTTTAAAACTGCTGCCACTGCCTGTTTCCTTTTGCTGTCAGCAGACCTTTTGTGCAGTCTTCCACATTGCAGTGAAGGCTCAGCAGACCAGAAACCCTTAGAACTCACTTTTTGTACCAGATTATAAAGTCAAAGGATTGATCTCCTTTAAGTTTTGTAATGAAAATCTTTATAGTAGATTTCTTTCAGTTAATGCATCTGTATATTCTGGATTATTCTGCTCTAATCTTTTAAAGATTTAGGTTTGTTAATATCAAGAGTTTTTGCAATGAGCACTTTACTCTCTTTGTAGTTTTGGTATTAAGCAACAAAAATGTTTTAAGAATCTTCCCATTTTTTCTATGATTTGGAATACGATTATAACATCATTTTAAAAAGTTAGATAAATTTCAACTCTAAAACCAGTTGAGCTGATTGTCTAAATAATCACTAGTAAACACTTACTCATGCAGTTTATTCTGTGGAGACTGGTCTTTTTATTTATTTTTAACAAATTTGCTGAATGGTCACTTTTGATTTTAACTAAGCACAAGTTTTGTGTAGTTTTTTTTTTTTTTTTTTTTGCTTTTTGTGGTTTTGTAGTATTGAGCAAAAGAACTGAATATTTCTAGAATTTTGGGTTTCTGTTGAAAACTTGATATTTTCTTATGTGAAAATTATATTTTCCAATAGATTATTTATGGTTTGTTTTTTTAATAGATCTAAACCCCAACACTAGTCATATATGTTATTTGTATAATATTTTACAGTATATTCTTTTTGAATACTCTTTTCCCCATAATTGCAAGTAATAACCTTGCTAATTTAGAAAGTTCAGCTTCATAGGGCTTATAAGACAATTGGAGCTGGAGCTACCCAGATTCTGTTTGATTTTCTTGCTTGTTTTTTGAGACAGAGTCTTGCTATGTAGTTTAAGCTGGCTCTAAAGTCATTGTGTCACCCAGGCTGGCTTTGAACTTGTGGCAGTCTTCTTGTCTCAGCCTCCCAAGTGCTGGGGTTTTAGACATTCATCACCATGCCCAGCTTCTGGATTCTGTTTGAGAAACAGTACCTTACAGAGTGGAGGAAAAATTAGTTATAACAATTTAGCACTGGTCAGCTTTTATCTACTAGTGGAGGGGATTTTTTCCCCTATATTTAATATTAAACATTTAAAAATTTTTTACATATTAGTTCTTTGGAGAACATATCATTGTTCTAGTTTTTAATGTTACTGCATTGAGCCTCATAACTTGTTTTCACTTAGATTTGATTCCTATTGTAGCCTTAGCACTGCAGGAAGTCTATTTACTCAACCTTCTGTGATTTTACATAGGGATAGTGTTTTCCAAGTGTCTGTGACTCTAATGCCTTCTGGTGATTTGCGCTGAGTAATATGCTGCTGCTGTTAGATTAAAAATGATCTGTGAGATTCAGTTCTTATTGATAACATTAAAATTGTTTTAAAACCTGTTTATGTACAGATGCAGTTGGCAGGATGTTGTTAAGGTAAAATGTATTTTCATGTTGAAAAAACAAATTCTCATAAACTTATAAATTAATATAGAAAATATAAAAATACTGTAGTTATGATAGTAAAAATTGAAACCTTGATGTCAAACATTGTGGTATACAGAATCTACCTTTAAATTGTCAGTGATTCTGACTATGTAAATTTTACTTGTGCTACTTGTATTAGAAATAAGTCATATAATTCTGTTTTTTAAAATAAGTATTTTACTGTTAACTGTTATTCTTTACATCTGGAGTTCATATTTTAAAAATGCTTTAAAAACTGAGGAGAGATAAATACTTAATAAAAAATCTAATAAGCCAACTGGATGTGGGAAAAATGAAAGCTAAAAATGAGTGGAAAAGAGTAAAAATTTCAGTCTTTCAGCAAGAGGAAATGCTAAGTTTCTTTAGATATTAGAACAGTTGCCAAAGTCAGCGTACTTTGGAAGAGTACCTCTTTTACATTATCAGAGCAAACTGTTCAAGTCAAGAACTCAGGCATCTGCCACTTGCTGAATGGCAGTAGGCAAGAAATTCAATGTATGTAGAAGTAGTACATTAGTACATTAATGTATGTAGAAGTAGTACATGGTTAATAGGAACAGTTTAATGTGTTTTCATTTTGGAAATGCAAGAAAATTTTGATAAACGTAGAGAAAATATAAATGGAGGGAGAAATATAAAAATGTAGTTGTGATACAGAAAATTAAACAGTGATGTCAAACGTTGAGGTATATAGAATCTACCTTCTTTAATGTCAGTGGTTCCAGCATTATCTCACAAGTATGAATGTTGGTATTATTCCTGAATTTTAAAAACTTCTTTGGCTGTGAGATAATAGGTGAATAAACTGATTTCTTTGTGCAGACATCAAATAGCACACAAAGTACGCTTGTGTATTGTGGGATTCTGATCCCCCTTACCTGAAACTCCTTTTCATAATCTCATTCTTGAGATTTCTTTTTAATGTATCCACCTTTGGATATTTATCAGTTTTTTTCTCTTTATAATAATCTAAGACTAAAATAAGATTGTTATAGTAACTTACATGTTAAATTGAATGATGGAAAAATATGGAGACTTTGTTTTTTTACATTTGTTATAGTAAAAGACGCATTGCTGGGTTAGGGGTTTAGCTCAGTGGCATAAGCACCTGCCTTGCAAGCAGGCGGTCGTGAGTTCGATCCCCGGTACCGATAAAAATGAAAAAGACTAAATAAATAAATAAATAAATAAATAAATAAATAAAAAGACGCATTGCTGTTAATCCCCTCAAAATATTTATTCTTATTTCAAACACATTTATCCCATTATGGTAGGCACTTTTTGAAGCATTTCTGGAAATTCTCTTTCATGAGTAGTTTTAATTGTGCTGTTTTGACTGCCTCAGTGTTCTGAATCCTTCAAAGTGCTTACCTTTTGTGGTCATTTTGACTTTGAGGAACAGCCAGAAGCTGCCTGGTGCAAGGTCCAGTGAGTAAGGTGGATGGAGACACTTGGTAATACTTTTATGAGCCTTTCTTAGAATTGTATACATTCGGCAGCAGGCTTCACTGTCGTTTTGAAAATACGTTGTAAAGACTCATTTGTTAAAGAGGACTACCAGAACTGCTTCAGAAAGTGGCAGGGACTGTGGAGTAAGCGTGTTTGATGGGAGGGGGAGCATTTTGAGGAGGATTAATGGTAATATGTCTTTCACTGTAATAAATTGTTTTTAAAAATTTAAACATTCATTTCACATTTTTTATCACACTTTGTAGTTTATAATATAGAACTACCATAGTGATAGTAGTCCTTAGTGGCCTGTTATAAATTATTAAGTTATAATCTTAGCTATTTGAATGATTACCCTTTTTAAATCTTTCTCTCTAGATACAGAAGTTTATAGTGAGTTTTATCCTGTGCCACCTCCCTACAGTGTTGCTACCTCTCTTCCGACATACGATGAAGCTGAGAAGGCTAAAGCTGCTGCAATAGCTGCTGCAGCTGCAGAAACATCTCAAAGAGTAAGACAATTTTAGCCTTTCTTTTGATGTTAAAAAATCTATTATATATACCTTTAATAACATAAAAAATACGTTCTTTGATATAAAAGTGTAGTTTTCCTGGAGAGAGAGAGAGAGAGAGAGAGAGAGAGAGAGAGAGAGAGAGTGTGTGTGTGTGTGTGTGTGTGTGTGTGTGTGTGTCTTTTGGAGAATTTCACTGTGCAGTTCAGGCCGGACTTGAACTTTCTACATAGCCCATGCTGGCCTTGAACTTGCAGTGACCCTCCTGCCTCAGCCTTCCAAGTACTAGAATCACAGGTGTGTGTCACCACACCCGGCCTGTCATTTTTTTTTTTTTTTTTTTTTTAGTACCTCTTCGTGCATTAGTTTTGTTCAAATTGGCTTGCTCCTTGTTACATTCAACTTCTCCATTCCTTGGCCTCATTTCTATTGATTTTCACCTCCATCCCACTTCATCTTGTGGTCATCCTCAACCTTGTCTTTACCAATACATTTATTACTTGCTGAATTTTGATTTTATTTATCTTCTGTAAAAACCTCTCATTCTTCCAGGTCACCAGGTATCTCACCCTACCAGTTCTTCTCTTCACTGGGATTTTGAGTCCACTGATCTCTTCATTGACCATATGTTTGTTTTTCTCTATGTACAATTGTAATTCCTGAGCTATCACTATGGCCATGAGTCATCATTTTTCTATTCATGTTTTATATTTATTATATAGCCAGATTGTGACTCCATGAAAGATACTAAAATATGTAGAGAAAAAAGTTGTAAGGCCTTCACATAAATTTTTTCAGTAATTTTTTTTTATCATATCCTAGAAGTCGAGTAATGATGATGTCATAGCACATGTAATGAGATATATGTGTACTATTATTCTGGTAGGAGGAGTGGCTATCTCAGTAATGTAGCTGCAGCAATATACATGGCCAGGGTATAGTCAAAAAATACAATGAATGGTTAAATTAAAAGTAAATTTACTATAGTAAATGATACATTGCCATTCGCCCCCCTCAAAGCACTCACCTCATTTGGGATGCACGCATCTCTTAATTCTGAAGTGGTTCTGGTAGTCCTATTTTGTGTCATTTTGTGGCTATCAGTCTGGAGTCAACTCAAAATGTTCATGGCAATTTCTGTCAATTAAAAACGTTATAATGTGTCATGGTCCACCTTATTCCCTGGATCTGGCACATTGCAACTTGTAACTCTCTCAAAAAGTCACAGTGACCATGAAAGATAAACGTTTTGAATTAATTCAGGATATTGAGGCAGCTATCACGGGGCAGCTAAAAATACTCATGAAAAAGGATTTGCAGAGCTGGTTTACAAAGTGGTGAGAATGACAGGTACTTGTGTGTGAAGAAAGGAGAAATATTTTGAGGGGAGTTAATGGCAAGATATCTTTTACTATAATTAAATTCAATTTCTAAATCACCATATTTTTTGATCATCTTAAGCTACCTGGCGGCAGGTAGAAAGTGAAATTACTTATATTTTAGTGTGGTGGAAGCAGGGCTAGAATATTTTGCCTTTTATTTCTTGTTTCAGACTTTGAAGTATCATTTCAGATCCCAGTATTCATTCTGTTTTATTCAGGAAAAAGATATTTAAAAAATTACTTCACCCAAGAAAGCTAGAATTAGGTGAGAGCTCGAGGGAGAGAAAAATGCTTCCCTGTATGGCATTGTCCTCTTGCCACCAAGAGGACGGAGCCCAGGAATAGAGCCTCTGAGGAGGAGACCCGTTTCCAGATGAGTTCGTACCTGTCCCAGGTGCCGTTTGCCAAAGTGCACAAGAGATAAACATCAAAGAGCTGATAATTAGGAAGCTAGGTAAAGCTAATAACCCCCAGATTTATTCTGTGTGCCTTTTTCTTGAGAAAAGAAAGTAAGCCTCTTAAGAGAGTAGCATGAGCTCAGCTCAGTCGTTCAGGATTTCAGATGTTAGGAGAGCGAGTGCGGCCCTGTGAAGTAAGTCGTGTCCGTCAGGGTGGACTCCAGCCTGCTTAGACTTAGGTTTGTAGATGCACGCGCACCGTCTCTCAGTGAAGCAGATGAGCTCTTTTTTTAGAGCCTGTGTCTCCAGAGATGCTGGCAATGGTAAAGGTCCTTCAGTTGTATTATGGGCATTGGATCCTCTACTGTCCTGATTGCCATGTGATAGAAATAACTCTAAAGACAAAGTAGGAAGCTTTGAGTCTTGATACATGAATTTTGAGAAAAACATAGGGGTGACAACATTTTTGGAGAGAAAACTTGGAAGTATATTGCTCCTTTCTGTCACTGTCATTGAATCCCCTGTCTTGCTTTAGAAAGAGTGTGTCCAGCCTTAGTTAGAACATATCCATGAAGTAAAGTGGCCTGTTGCCTCTTGTTCTGATGCCGTTTTACTCCAATCTGTGAGTAGTGTAGAAAGTGTCATAGGAAGCAGAGTAGAATTATACACAAGAAAGTTTTTAAGTTTATCAGTGCTTTCTAATCCAGTGCTCTAGCACCCTCTTTCTACAAAGTGTGAGTATATGAGTGTTTGCTCATGAATCTGTACCTGGTTCAGTTTTAAACAGCTGTCTGTAAATGGGGGTAGATGAGAGTAGATTTTGTGTTTTTAACCACAAAAAATAAAGTATACAAGGTAACACATACATTAATTAGCTCAGTGCAGCCATTCTGTGATGTATGCATATAGCTTTTTTTTTTTTTTAATTGTTTTGTTTTTGAAACAGGGTTTCTGTGTAGCCTAGGCTGGCCTTGAACTCGTGGTGATCCTCCTGCCTCAGCCTCCCAAGTGCCGGGATTTAAAGGTGTGCATCACCATGCCTGGCAATGTATATTTCAAAACCTCAAGTTGTGCACCGTAATAATATGTTCTTTTTTGGTTAGTTAAATTTTTCTTTAATTAAAAAACAAACCTGGTCTGATTAACAGTTGAGTACATTCAATTGTGAGTGTCAACCAGATGAGAGAGGGATGCTGTTTCTTAAATTTACTCTCAGTGGGGCAGTGTATGTAAGGTGGTCAGTAGCTTTTGACAGCATTTCCTGTTTCTGTTCTGTGGGGTTGCACTTATCTTGTGGAATGGCTAAATAGATTTATGGAAATGTGCTACACGTTTGTAGTATTTCTTTGAAAAAATACCTGAATTCTAAATCATTCATTTAATAAAACTTTAAAAACACATGCTTTTCATCAAGTAGAATCATCTTAAAACCTTATGGGTGAGTAGAGTTTATTTTTTATGACTTGTTTGAATTTGTTATACAGATTTGTCGTTTGTCATAAGAACTAGACCTTGGTAAGCAGAGTGGCTCTTGGACAGGGACTTCATGTTTGTGTTCCTAACCCCTGGCTGCTACCTGGCACATACTTGGCATTTAATAAAAAAATTTGATTAAATTAATTCTTTCACTGCATTAACCAGTGTAGGAAACTTGGAACATGTAAATACCTCATATTCTATTACAGATTTTTGTTTTAAAGAATTTTTTTGTATTTTATAAACTTAAGGATTTATAAATCAATATTCAGTGTAGTTGAAATTATTGTACAAATGTCATCCTTTTTAAAAAAAACATTCTGTATAAATATTTTTCACTTATTTAATGGTCAAGTGAAATTGCATAGAATTAATAACAGTTGTAATTTAGTGACATATCTCTCCAGGGAAGAATTATTTTCATAGATGAATGTATGGATTTTCTTTTCTAGTGATAGTAATAAAAAAGATATCTGAGTGAATTTCTTCTGTTTTTTAAAAAACAAATGTCTTCTACAAAATTTCTGTGTTGCAGTTTTAAAATAATATGAAATCTTATACTTTTGTCATATTGAGTGCTTTTAAAATCTTTTTTTATGTTGTGTTGTTCCTTAATGTTTATTTCAAGTTAATTTGAAAATGTGTGTGTGTGTGTGTGTGTGTGTGTGTGTGTGTATTTTTTTTTGGAGATAGGGTTTAGGTTGGTCTTGAACTCGCTTTGTAGCCGAGGCTGGCCTTGAATTTGCAGTGATCCCCCTGCCTCAGCTTCCTGAGTTCTGAGAGTTCTGAGATTACCAGCAAGTGCTCCCATGCCTGACTGAAATTGTACTAATAAAATTTTACTAGTATGTGCTTAAACCATTGCCATCGTTAAAATTTGCTATATAAAGTTTGCCTAGTGTATACGATTGCACATAGTAAACAACATACATTTATCTTCTTGATACTTTGTAAGTTTGATATTCAACTTTTTGTGTGTGTGTGTTTACTGTTAAAGTTACACTTTTCTGGGGGTATCTATGGAAAAGTAGTTACTTGCTGTTTTTTGAATACATAGTGTCTGTTCAAGCTGAGAACATGGTATTTTATTGGAATTGTTACTGTTACATTCAAGGCACCATAATTATTTCAGGAGCTCTTGTGCTATTATGTTTTACAGAATCAGGAGGAAGAGTGTCCACCGAGAGATGACTTCAGTGATGCAGACCAGCTTAGAGTGGGCAATGATGGGATTTTCATGCTGGCATTTTTTAGTAAGTCGTCTTTCTACACTGTTGTGCATTTAAAGTAGTATCGTATAAAGGAGGATAAACTTGAGCCATTTGTAGGAAAATAGACACACCTTGAGACCATAAAGTAAAATAGACACTCATGCTTAAATATCACATGGTTACTCTTTTGTGAGAACCCTCAATAATAATAAAGGCATGATGAAAGGTACAGAATGGGAGACAGGGAGATCTGTTGTTCTCAAAAGAAAAGGGTTCAAGAGATGGGGAAGGGAAAGGAAAACAATAAAGGATAATAAAAAGAATTAGGGTGTGTTCTATCCATGCACAGCTCCACACAGGGAGTGTAAACGTAAAAGGGAGGAGATTAAGAGATGGTAGAGAGCAGTGAGGGAAGGGGTAGGGGGTGAAAAAAGGGATGTACCAACTCTGTAAGGAGTGTAAGTATTGTTTACTACAGCCATGTACTAATAAGCTAAAAATAAATAAAAAATAATAAAAAGCCAAAAAGTAACATCATAAACAAAATATTATTAGCATGTGTTGACTTCATTTGAATTAGTCAAGATACTGAATACAGATTGTAGCATTTATTTAGTTCTTACTGGATAATTACATACTGCAGCTATGTTAGATATGTACAACTAAAAGGTATATAAAGATTTTGTAAGAGAAATGCTGCTATACCGATGTCTGCCCCATGCAGTGGAAATACAAAACTGTAAATTCTGCTTTGGGAGGCAGAAGGCTTCCATTTGAATGTCCTTAGGCAGGAAAAAAAGAGGGTATTTGGGTAGCACAACAGTGTCACTAGGAGTGGGGCACAATTAGAAGGTGAGAAGCCCTATTAGTGTTCTTTTAACATCTTACAGAATTCTGGTTTTTTTTTTTTTTTGGAGATAGGATCTTGCTGTGTATTCTAGGCTGGGCTTGAATTCACACACGGTGTAGCCCAAACTGGCTTCAACCTCAAGACAGTCCTCCTGGCTCAGCCTAAGTGCTGGGATTATAGGCGTGTGCTACCAAGCCCCACCAGCATCTTTAATAGAAAAGTCATATTCTATGTGTGGAGTTACTGTTGAGTTGAAGTTCACTTTTTCTTCCATTTTGAAATGCTGAAGAACTGAGGTGGGACAGGGAGGTGGGCAGGCAGCTGTCTTTCTTTCCTCAAGTTTATTAAATTATATTTAAGTTGCCAATCAAATAACATATGCACATAGTATTTAAATCTTAAATTGTTTTTAGTTGCAATTTTTAATGAAAAGAAGAAGTGAGCTTTTTGGTTACAAAAATGACTACCATTTTGTGTTATTAGGCTGGCGAACTTTTGTATCTTAGTTTTAGTTCATTTGCTAATGTTTTATATTAATAGCACATTCCCCACATATATTGTATTCATGGTTGTATCTTTTAAGGAATACTAATTGGAAAGTAAGTCATTATACTGTTTGTAGTAGTATCAATAACTGTTTCTTGAGAATAAAAGCTTGTTATTTGGTACCATCTAATTATTGATCTCCAAACTTAGTTTTTATTATTTGTTTCATCTAATTCCAGTCTTCTTTTTAATGCTTATTTTCAAGAGTTGAAAACATTTCACTGATGTAAATGTTATAAATGATTGATAAGTTAAACATATCTGACTTTACTTTTGGTCATTGGCAGTATATTAATATACATACAAGTATATTTAAAGATTTAATATAAAGTATTTTACTCATTTTTACTAAATTATGTTTTTTTCAACTTACTTGTATGCATTCTAGTCTACAAATATTGCAACATATTCTGAGTAAAATATATTTTACCTTAATTTTCTGATACATTTCTTTGAAGCAATGTTTGCTTTGATAAATGTGGATTTATTTGTAGTTACTGCCATCTAGTGACTATTCTTCAAATTACAACGTGCTATATTCAGTACTTAAGTAAATACTGTTGTAAAAAATATAGAAATAGTTTTCTTGAACATTTGAAATTGTATTTGCTCAAAGAAAATCACATTGAATGCTATAATATAAAACTTAGTGTTGGATTTATTTTTGCCTTTATTATCAGTGTCTGTTTCATTCTCCTACCTTATGTAACTTAAAAGAATTTACATTTAAAGTTGGTAATCCAAGTACCTGTTCTTGTTCAGAAATTGTAAAGGAAGAAATTATGTATCTTTTAATGTTTATGCTTTTTGTAAGATTTAAAGTGTTATAACAAAGTATATCATGTACACACCTAACCTGAGTGTCTCTAATCTTAAGAAAATGTTTTAAGACAGTAGAATAGAATCTAGTTGTTCATCAGTTATTTAAGCTCTAGATTAAGATTTAATTCAAAGTATAAGTGAGAGTCTGTGGAAACAATTTTGAATTCTAGTGTTTTAAAATGTAATGAACTGAAAAAAAAATTAGGGAGCTGGGGATTTAGCTCAGCAGCATAAGCACCTGCCTGGCAAGTGCAAGGTCATGAGTTCGATCCCTAGTAGCCTCCCCCCAAATATATATATATATAATGAACTGTGTTTTAGTCTGTTTAGGAAACTTTTCTTCCAAAGATCATTTATACCATTTGCATGAGATTCTTCATGTCAGTATGTTGACATGTATTAATACTTTTATTAAATACTTTTATCATTCTCATTTTAGACTTAAGGAAATCAGAAAGAGAAATGACATTATTGTAACTTTAAAAAATTTGGAAGTCATTTTAAGATGTAAACCTGACTTGTAAGAAATTGTCAAAATGTCTCCATAGTAGTTATACCATTTTGCATTCTCACAATATGTGAGATCACCAATTGGTATTGACAGATTTTTTTATGTTAGATTAATAGATAATGTAGTGATATCTAATGATAGTTTTAATTTACATTTTTCTGATTATGATATTGAGCATCTTTATTACACAAATTGTTTTGAGAGTCTACCATATGCAAGTCAAAAGTTAGGAGTTCCTAAAAGGTTTACATAGACGGCACACATATTAAAAGCAGTACTTTGGTGACTTATATGTCCATGTGAGGCTGTATCTTAATATAGAACTTAGATGGCATTGCAGATTATAACTGAACACAGAAAAGTAACATCGGAGAATTATGAATATATGTTAAGATGCCCATAAAATATTTATTGTGAAATCTTACGTTTCCATTTTTTTAATAACTAACTAAAAAAATTTTCCATTTTTTTAATAACTAACTTTTTGGCTGGTTACTTAGGCTTACTGAACCCTAGGGTGGGAGTACATGGAAGCTGCAGTGTGTTCCCATTTTTAGCTGGTTTAAAACTGTTCTTTCATTTACTGGCGATAAATAATAACAGATTTATTCCTGTTGACCAAACTGACAATAAACCACACTTACCCATGTATTGATGTATAGTAAACAACTAATACCTTTACACAGGCAAACTACAGTCTATAAAGAAGGTTTAACTGGTAGAGATAAAAGGAACTGCCGTTTAAGCAGTGGAGCACTGTTAGTATCGGTGGTCAATATATGACATACACACTGAACTGGCTGTTTGTTATCATTGAAAACTAAAGGATTCACCTTCACTGGTTAATAGTATGTCTATGTTACTTTCCATATTTGACCTTTAAAAGAACTGTTTTTTTCTTGTTTTTAGTGGCATTTATATTCAACTGGCTTGGATTTTGTTTATCCTTCTGTATCACCAATACTATAGCTGGAAGGTATGGCGCCATCTGTGGATTTGGCCTTTCATTGATCAAATGGATCCTTATTGTGAGGGTGAGTGTCTTAATAGAATATACCTCTGTTATCTCTAAATGTTCACCTTATGACCATGAATGACATTCAAGGCTTATACTGTATTTTATTATAATAACCTCAGTGGTGGGAACATGTAAAACTGTATAAGAGACTATTAGTATAGTGGGAAAAACTTTGAAATCAGAAAAAATTAATTTGAACTACATCTTTTTAATGTCTGTATTCTCACTTTAATTTATTTAGTGGTTCTGAGCATTGGTTTCTTCCAGTAGGCTGCCTCACAGTTTGAGCAAGGTATGCAAAGTAAAGAGCCTTGTGCAATTACTGCACAGATGTATTTGCTATCCAGTATAGGTATGACTAAAAGCAGATAAAAACTGAAACTTCTGTTGTTTTATAAGTTATGAGCTTAAATTTGGGGGGGGGGTGTGATGCTCAGAGCTCAGAAATAAAAGCAAAAGCCTATGAAGTAGCTATCAGAACTCATCTTATTTTCCATTATCTTATTTCTAAGCTTTCTCATTTGGTTGTTCCTGAAATTGCCATCTGCTTTCTTCTTATCACTTAGAAGATGATGTTTAGTTAAACAGTCAAACTGCCTTTTCTTTTCCCATCTCAGCAACTTTCCTAGGCTCAGATAGTTTCCTATAAAAATGATACAGGCATTAGTGCCATTATCACAATCACTCTCTAACCTTGACATTTCCTTACGTTTTAGGGTTCTTTTCACAAATACTTGTTCCAGGTTTTTAGAATGATGCCTAAGCAAGGGGAGTGAGTAAGAGAGACTTTGTTTGTTGATTGTTTGAATAAGTCTTCTGAAAAGTTACCTGCATATTTTCAGTGCTATTATATGGTTAACAAATGAAAATATATATCATAAATTCTACAAACCATATTTACTTAAACATTGACTATTACTTAAATGAGCTCAGTCCTTCAGAAGTGTTCAGTGCAGTCACAGGTCTAATATATTGGCATCTCTGAAATTCTTCAGACACTTTGATAATGAGTCTGTACTATTACTTTGAATAAAAGGTATCCATTCCATTAATATTAATAATGCATTTATTCATTATTGTAAAATTTATTTCATAGCTTCTCAGTATTTCAATAATCCTTTCAGACCCTGCAGCAGTTCAGACCAGATTACAAGCTTTGTTTACTTATCTGTTGATTATTGGTGGGACATGTGGGCTGATTTCTTCTAAGGTGATTAAAATCTGAGCCATTGTAAGAACTGTCCCCTGGAAGTTTCTTTTTCAAATTTTATTTCAAAAGATGAATAGTGAGTTTCCTCCATTAGCATATGTGTCTTGTTAGGTATTGCAGAATATGTACAGACAAAGATGCAGTCCCTGCCCTTGCAGAAATTATTACTAGAAAAACCTCAAAAAAGTTGAAACTAGGTATGTCGAACCTTGGTTACGATATTAATTGAATTAATTCCTATTAAAAATGGCATTGCCCATCTAATCACAGAACAAAGAATATTATTTGAGAACTACTTTCTTAATCCTCCTAAATGTTGGCAAATTGCTAGTGTTACACTAGGTGCAAAAAAGGAGGTTAATCTATTATATATAAGCTATGCCTTTAGGGTTTTACAGCCTGATTCCTTCCTAGAGTGCTAGGTTAAAAAAGAACTAGATGATCTTGTTATGAAATCTATTAATGTGATAAGATGAAGAACTTAAAAATCAAAGCCTGGAGTTTCTTAGTTTTATAAGGTATATACTAACATTTTTTTGATTATGGGGACTATTTAGTTTTCCTTTCAATGTATTTGCTGAATTAAGGGTAACATCAACCTCTTAATACAGAATTGGTGTAAAAAAGATTTTTAAAAATCTCTTGCATAGAGTAATAACCATCATTCTTTGACTGTGTTCAGATTTAATTTATTACAAACATCAAATTCTTTAAACCAATCTGTATCTTTGATGATGGCAGTGATTCCCCTATTTATTGATGATGGAATTGGGGATAAAAAGAACCTAATAACTTGCTTAAGGCCCCACAGCATGCACATGGATTAGAATTTACCTTGGTCTCAGTTAAATGTCTGTCCTATGTGTTCTACCTGAGCTACACTGTACCTTAACTTCTACTGTAATGTTCTAATCCATAAATTCCTCTTGGAGTTCAGTGCTAAGAGACGTGTTTACTCCTAAAAGTCTGCTGTTTCCATTTATTAGTTGATGAGTATTTTATAAGTCTTACTACCGCTCCCGCTCCTCCCGGCCCCGTTTGTGAGCTGCCATGAATCTCAGATTTTGTTTATTTTTCACCTACTATTCTGGTATTAATTCTGCCTAAGGCTTTTGGTGTTTTTATTGCTTCTTTAAAAATATATTAGTATATCTTACTTCTTGAACCTCCATTGTAATTATTTTATTTTCTAAAAATAATTAAAACCTTAAAATGATTTAGAACATTGCTAATAATACGATTCTTTACCAATTTCACTACAATAAAAAAGAATAACATGTTTTTCTTAGGTAGTTTTTTATTCTAATTTGTCTTTTAGCTGTATTTTAGACTGTTTATAAAGGTTTATTAAAAGTTAACATGTCCTTTTTGAATAACAGGATAGGAACAAGAAAATACTGGTGCATTATTAGTAAAATAGCAGATAAATTCTTAACATTGGGTAATTTTCTAAAAGTTGGACAGTGATTGGCTGATCAGTATGATCTACTTCTAAACAAGGTGACAACTTGACTCAGCCCTGTGATCTTAGTATTTTAAAACATTTTTGATAAATCAGGTAATGAGCCCAAAGCTTACTTAGCTATCCTTTTAAAATAGTGAGTCTCTTGGACATCAAGGTAAAGATAATTATATCTTCTTCATTTGAGACTAAAAAATAGCTTTCTGTAAATATTTTTGGTGAAGAATACTTCTTGATTTTCTCATTGATTCTTATTAGGTACCATATACAGAAAGGTAAAAATGTATTGTTTTTTTAATTCTTCGTTCTTTCAGCTTGTTAAGACTTTTATGAAAACCTATTTCTAATTGTTACTCATTTTGTTAAAAAGTAGCATAGTACAGTTTTGTTTTTTAAGCTGTAATTTTCCAATTTTGAAGTTCTCTCTCATTGTGCATTTTTGAAAGGTGTAAGATTTACATCTTTAATTGTACACTGAACTTTTAAATCTTGGGATTTCATAAAACTCATAAAACTTAAGCTAAAAGGGTAGATTATGGCTTATGTATTAACTAAAAATAAATTCAGAGAGGATAGTTTATAAACTTTAACCTTTAGTTGTTGTGTTTTCAAATGGCTATGTTTTTTGTAATTTGTACTTTTGTTATTCCCCAAACTATATGCTTTTAAAGATTTTATGGAAATTGCTAACACATAGTTGGAAATACGTGCATCCAAACTTTGAAATACTTTTAATTTCTGATCAAGCACAAATGTGCATTCAACAGGGTTATATTTAGTTAAATAAGATTTAGTTTGGAGAACCATGGAAAGCACGTTAAAAGAAAAAGCAGGTTCATTTTTAGTAGATCTGAAAAAATCTGTGGGCATTATTTAGGTGCTAAGAAGAGAGAGAAGAACTAGTAAAGAAATATGTGAAATAACATTGATGAAAACTAGATTGATTCTTAAAAAAAACAAAACAAAATTTAAATGTGATGTGTACATCCTAGTCAAGGGAAAGATGCCTGCACCCTGTGCTTCCCATCTGTTCCTTCGTGTTCCCACATCACAGGATGTAAAACTATCTGCCACTGCCTCTAATAGGAACTGTCGAAATGCTGCTTCAAGGTTCATTTAGCTGTTCTCAGCTCACTGTTGGGGACTGAATCAGAGTGCATCTAGTTGGAAAATAAAAGAACTCCAATGAGTTGGGGGTCTTTATGTGCCTAGTATTTTTGGCAGTGATTAACAGTAGGGGGTGTACAGAAGGTCAAAATCTGTTCTTTATAGGGGTCACCAAAACATCCCCATCTGATAAGATTAAACTAATGTGGCTTTTGGTGTTAATATCTAAAGCAGCAGGTTGCTGTAGTATATTTGGGATGGTCTTGTGCCTTTGAGAGTCTGTGAAAAAAGGACTGGTGTAAACTTGGTAATGGGAAAATGTTTGCTTCAGATAGGCAGCATTTACTTTTCTTTCTTGCAATAAGTTTGGCTTGTTTATAAACTGTTTTATATAAGTTTTTTTTCTATTAAATAAGATGTTTTTGAGTTATGTATGTATATTATCCATACAAAGCATTAAAAATATTTTGTTTGATTTCATCTTCCCACTGTTTTATATGTTAAAGATTTTTAGGTAAATTATTATAGCTGAGGATAATTCACAATTTTTTAAATTTAAGAATATAAACATGGTTAATATATTTATGTTCACTCCATAGTTTTCGGATTATTTTACTGGATATTTCAATGGACAGTATTGGCTATGGTGGATCTTTCTTGTACTTGGTAAGTTTATTCTTACTGCATTTCTGCTGCCTTTGTTTTTTTTTTTTTTTTTTTTTTTGTCTGTCTGAGACAGTGTCACTAAGTAGTTCAGGCTGGCCTGGCGCTCCCACTTTGTAGCTCAGGCTAGCCTTGAACTCACAGCGATCCTCCCATCTCATTTCAGTTTCATTAATTGTGGTTTAATGTTGGTACTTCCTAATATCACAAGGTATAAATCCTTGTGGATATATTTCCTTGTGAAAAGAATTGTTCTGCTATAAAATTCTCTTGTATAAACATTTATCTTAGCTTTTCAATTAATTCTTTTTAGCATTCCAGATTTCTGAGATTTAAAATGCAGAGGCTGGCAATATTAAAAAATCAGTGGTTGAATGATAATGGACTGCTATACCATTTTATTTAAATATTTTTACACAATTAAAAATAATTGCTTTCATTGTTTATCTTGAAAATATACATGCATACTTTCTTTTCATAGTCTCAGTATATGAAGGTTTAGTTTGCACAGAGGATAGTTTCAGCATGCTGTCCATTCTGTAATTTTTAGATCATGGAGACATCGTTTCTGCTTTTGAAAAGTGCATTGTACTAATCATTAATCAGCCACTAATAAAGAAACTAATAAGGAAAGCCTAAATCACTGCACTTGTTGTGTTGTTTTATAAAGCATATTTTTGTTAATGTTGATTCTCAGCTTACATATATAATTAAGTTACTCTTAAAAAATCACATTAATACTTTTAGTGCATCTTTCAAATATGTTTGTTTACTGACATGAAAAATGTGATTTGTTTCTACTGAAAATAATTGCATCAGAAAATAATAGCATTTCAGTAGGTGGCAGTCTTCTCTTTGAGTTTTTAAGTCATGCTTTTGGATATTAAGGAGTTTCGGGGAAACAATTCTTGGTGGTCACCAAATTTTTTTTCTAATAATGATAGTGTAATTACTTTAGTATTGTGTTAGGAAGTCAGACTTCAGGGTTAAGCCTGTTTCATGTTGTCAATTATATTCTGATCACCTAAATTATATGTGCTAAAGATGAAAAAAAATCTGTAATATTAGGTATTTAAACATTGAGTTGAGTATATTTACTTGCTGTGCACATTATTGAGAACTTGGGGGAATCTTTGGAAGATAACTGTGGGGTATAGCTCATATCAGATTTCTCCATCAGCACCATGACTAGCATTTTACTTAGTAATGTGAAAATTTAAAAAGTAATAAAAATGTTCTCATGTTCTCCAAAGAGTGTTGACTACATTATAGAATGCTGAGAGATCAGCTTTTAGATATGAAAATAGGAATAACTTTTAAAATGCATAAGCAGAAAAAAACTGCCTTAGAAATAACAGCTTTATAGACAAGGGATCTCACAAGTAATTTCGGTTTACATTTTTCAGTAATACTTCTGCATTTTGGAAACAATGTCATTACCTTTGCACAGCATCTGGAATGGCATGAGGGTAGAATTTAGAAACAGGAAGTCATGAATGGAGGAACTAGGATATAGGAAGCAGATGTGATTGGATTTAGCTGAAATTAATGCCCCTGTTTAAATCATTATATTACATTTCTTCTATCTCTCTGGTTTATTACAAACATACTCCCTGTTTTTAGTGTTTTGATTACTGCAGTGTGTTGGCGGCACAAATTTAGTTTTGGATTTTGTATTATAAATTCACAGATACTTTTCTGCCTAGTGAAAAAAGTTGCATATATACATAGCTTCTGTTTTTGTCTTTGTTCTGTACTATTTTCTGTTTATATGTATGCTTAATATTTTAAAGGCATATACTAATAATGACAGTATCATGTGTGTGTGTGTGTGTGTGTGTGTGTGTGTGTGTGTGTGTGTGTATTTTCTTCTTCTTTTTTTTTTTTTTTTTTTTTGGTGCCAGGGATTGGATTCATGAACTTATGCTTGCCAAGCATAGCTTACCTTGTGCTGCTGAGCTAAATCCCTGACCTTGCATGTATTATTTTTCATTTGAAACTTCGAACATTTTCATAACCAATGCTTCTAAATTACTAAAAATGCCTGTGATTTAAATGGTTATTATTTTACCCGGCATGGTAGTGTATGGTGGGGTGTAATCCCAGCACTTGGGAGGCTGAGGCAGGAGGATTGTTGGGAGTTTAAGATCAGCCTGGGCTACTGAGTTCAAGGCCAGCCTGAACTGCATGAGACCCTGTCTCAAAAAGCCAAAAAAAAAAAAAAAAGGTTATTATTTAAAACTTTAACAGAGGAGAAGACCAGGATAGGTGCCTCAGATATCTGATCGTCCAGGAAATCACTGCAGTTACTGCCTCCCAAGTCTTCTTTCCTGACTTTGTCTTTTTATCCTACACTAGTTTCTTCCTATTCTTGAAAATAAGGATTCATAAATTCAAAAATGTACAAAAGGCATATCTTCAGGTACAGATTTTATAGATCATAAGCATTGGATATTGCTAGACAGGCTTGCTGTTTTTTCCCAATGGTTGCTGACAATTGTATGCATATATTCTTTTGAATATTCTATATGAATAAACATTTTTTGTTTGATCATGAATTATATTAATTGAAAAGTTCAGTAAAAGTTGAATAAGTAAAATGCATTAGGTAACTTCACTTTATAGGAATCACTTAACAAATACATACATATTTTTTCTATTAAGATGTTTTGAGGGCGAGTGTATGGCTCAGTGATACAGCACCTGCCTGGCAAGTGCAGGGTCCTGAGTTCAATCCTAGTACCCCAAAAAATAAATAAAATAAAATGTTTTGGTTTAATAGGTGTATATTTTTATGTAATTCTGAATTTTCAGAGTTGGATTTAGGAACATTGAGACTTAAATTGAAAGACTGGGTGGCAGTAAATTGATGAAGTCATCGTTTTGTAAAATGAATGGAATACTGCAAATTAACTTCCTTGAGCTTAAAGGGTCTTACTATACTCATTTTACATTTATCTAGCATCTACGCTTTTCTGTGTAAGAACATAATATGTCTGTATTACTTTCAATTTTTTCAGGCCTTCTCCTTTTCTTCAGAGGCTTTGTTAATTATCTGAAAGTCAGAAACATGTCTGAAAGTATGGCAGCTGCTCACAGAACAAGATATTTCTTCTTATTGTAGAGGTAAATAGTATTATAGTGACTGTTTATTTCTTTTATGCACATTTAATTCATAATATTAAATGCTTAATGTTTACTCATAATCTATTCAAAGGTAGCATATTTGATATATTTTCATACTGTTAACAGCTTATTGAAATTTAATAAGTTGCTAGCTTTTTTAGATAACTTCAAGACATTTTAAATTGAATTTCATAAATGTAACTTTAAAATACATGAGTAAACTAAAACTGTTCTTTTTAAACTGCTTTTAAAAATTGACGACAGGGTGTGTTTGAAGTAACCACCAGCACAAAGTATGAAGGCTTGAAAAGCAAAATATGACCAAGTACTTACAGAAAAAAGATATGCATTTTGCATAAAACAGTGTGAAATCCACATAGACATCTGGTGAAAAAAAAATCTGTATTGAAAACCAATTTGTCATGCAGTCATTTTAACAATCTGGATCAAGGAATACAAGTTGTATGAAGAGAATAGTTCTGTTACTGTTTTCATGATGCATGTTACTTGGTATCAATAGGGAAGGCTACATTTTGAATGAGTAAGGAAATAAAGAAATGAGCACAGGCAGTCTGATTAGTTATCCAGCAAGTGTCTGGAGACTGTGTATTCAGTCATAGTATTTACATACCAGCCAGGTATCTTCACATAATGAAACCTCGTACCCTTATTCTCTATCTTGTTTTTAAGGCAAGTATTACATACTTGGTATTTATATGATTTAAATTTTAAAGTATTTGAACTTATAATTGTCTACTGAAACACTTCATTTCTGATTGTGAGACATTTCAAGGTTAGTATAATTTAAATACTCAGATTCTACATCTGTGTTTTTAACTAGCCATGGATTGAAAATACATGAAAAAGACAAATTAATCTGTGCTAAACATGTATAGACTTTTCCCTTCTTTTATTGTTCCCTAAATACAACATAACAACTATCTACATACCATTTAATTGTATTAGGTATTACATGTAATCTAGAGGTGATTTAGAAGAATGGAGGATGATATATGTAGGTTATATGCAAATACTACCCTTGCATGAAGTACTTGAGCATCTGAGGATCTTTGTACTTAAAGGAGGTCCTGGAACAATTTCTATGAATTGAAGGATAATTGTAATATTTTTTAATGAATAGACTTGGGTGGTTTGTGATTTGATTGTTTAAATTTTATTTATAACTTACATGGGTCATTAATAAGCATGTATAATTTACTTATGTCTGCTGAGAAGTACAGTGGATACAATTTTGTTTCTGGTTCATATTAAAGTATCATTTCAAGCATTCCATTAAGATCCCCTCACCCCTAGAGTCATTTTCCTTTTAAGCAGTAAAATATTTTTGCAAGTAGTGTTACTAAGGTTTGTCAGTATTAGCAGGAAGAGGAAAGACAAAGTAATTTCACTAACCTGAATGATGTTCCTTGAGTAGTGATTATCGCTTTGAAGAATCTGAAATATAAATATTTTCTAGGTGATAGTATCGTATGGAAATCTTATGTTTTAAAATATGATCTGATGTATACTGCATTATATTTATCAAAAGAACTTACATATTTTATATAACGCTGCTATAAGGTAGATTTTATTATACTATGATTTGGGTAAGTGCAACTTACTACATTTAAATATTAAGTCTTTCTTTGTCTCTAGATTGCATCAACCCAACATTCCTTTCTTTTACCAATGTGAAATTTGTCATCTGTAAATCTACAACTTTAATGGGATATAAGACTACTAACAGAAGAAAAATTACTGAAGAAAAGATGGAGCTTCAAAATTAAGTGACAGGGTGGTACTTAAAAGCCATTTCTGTTCTTTCTTTAATTACTTATGTTATTTGGTTTGCACATTTGCATATTGCCCATTTAAAAAATTTGCATATACTTGAAGAAACTGTAAAGTTGTGGGATTAAAGCCCAGTAACATTTGGCTAATCAGTGTTTGATATAATTGAAAGAATTCAGTGATAGAGTCTTCCAGCATGTATATGCGATTGATTTCTAACTTGACTGTAAGTATAATAAAAATGAAGTAACTAACCATGTCAAATGCTTTAGTTTCTGACTTAGATCCATCTAGTAATTCTATATATGAAATATTCTTTGTTATATATAAATTTTATTAAAAATGCAGTGCTGATTGTTTGAAAGGATTTCTCAAAGTTTTGAATAGATACTACTTAGGGAAACATTGTAAATAACCATGCACAAATTACTTTTTACATTGTTTTCTTAGAAATTGTGTCAGGTTATCTTCATTAATTTTAAATTAAGTGAACTAAATACATGTAGAAAATTTGAGTGGTACAGTTTGTTTTAGGACAAATTTTAAGAAGATGTGGGTATACCAAATATCCTTTTTAAGAAAAAAAATTTTTTAAGGCTCATGCCAGTTTTAGGGATTTTCAAATGAGAAGCTGGATGTTTAGGGTTACCCATTTTAGAGATTCTTACAGGAAGAGATTGTATTAGATGTTATATTTATTTCATTTAAGACAATTTAAAAAATTAATTTTCCAAATAAGATATTCTCATTTGTCTGTTAAAAATTCAATAAAATATCTTTCAGTATCACTGTAATAATTTTTCTTTAGATGTTTATTAAGCTTAGCAAATAAAGTCTTATTCTATTAATAGCTCCTTGTTTTATGATTATACGATTAATTTGTAAAAAATTGTAATCTGAACTGAGATATTTGAAGTACTATTTTCAAGTTCTGAAAAATGTGTGTGGAATACAGTGGCCTGGGATGTGTATATGTGTGTGGTAAGAGTGTAATCATTATTACAACTGGAATCTGCTTTACATTTTAAGTACTACATTTTGCATCTTGCAAATCATTTTTTGTCTCTTTTTTTCCCCCAGTGATATCTTTGCTTTTGAATGCTAGTATTAAAAAATGGTGGGGATAACATTATCTCTTAAACTTAAAAACCATTAATACAGCTATATGGAACACTTAAAATTGATAGTTTATTAGACACTGACTACTACTAAAAGTTACACCTAAATATTCAGGGGCACTTTCATTTCTTAAATAAAATTTATTATGCTTTATAACCTCTTTTGTATTTCTTTGTATTTTCTAATTTTTTCGTTACCTTTGACAAATAAAACATAAATTTTGTTTGCTAATTGAGCCTCCTATATTTTATTTTCCTTCATTCATTTTACTGCCCTGTGTAGAATTTTTTTGTTGATTAGACTTGTGTTATACCCCTTGAAGTAAAATAACATCATGGGGTAAAGAAAACAAAATATTTAATTCAGTTGCCTAATTGGGAAATGAATTCAAATTAGAGTGTACTAGTAACATATCCATTCTCATGCTGGATAGCTTCTCTATCTTGTACTCATTTTCTATAGACCTGTACTTGTTCTTTTAATAAATTTTAAATGAAATTGAGTTTTGATACATACTAATTTTTAATTCTTAGGAAGCTCAGCTATCAAACATCAGTTTATTAAAATTTAATTTTTTATTTTTATTTTTTTAGTACCAGGGATTGAACTCACGACCTCATGTTTACCAGGCAAGTGCTTGAGTTAAATCCTTGGCCTAAAATTTTAATTTTTATAGTATTTAGACTTGGTTTCTGAAGATGAGCATGCACTTTTGATCCCACGTCAGAACTGCTGGTTTTTTTTTTTTCCCCTAAATCTGCAAAGTTCACATATACAAGTTACCTAAATTGCTGTGATCAATGTAATTCAGTGATAAACCTTTAATCTCAGCATTTAATCAGGGGCATTAAAGTTTTTTTACAAATACTTAGCCTTCTCTTCCAGTTTATCCAGTGCTTCACACTTCCTTTCGTTTTCTGTGAGCTTGAAAAACTGTTTGGGGATACTTGACCCTGTTTGCGCTCCACCCTAAAGATTAAAAATCAGTACTCTTATTTGACTGTCTAAACATTTTTGAATGAAGGCAAAATGGGACTTGGAATTTTAATGCAGAGATACCTTAAATTACTTTCTGTTATATTTGAACTAAGGTAGTTATGGCTAGGATAATCCATTTTTATGTAGTTTTACAATAAATTGTTAGAGAGCTGGGTATATAGCTCAGCAGCATAAGTGTCTGCCTGCCAAGTGTAAGGTCCTGAGTCCAATTTTTGGTACCAATAAATAAATAAATAAATAAAATTTATAAAACTATTTGAGGCTAGATTTTAGATATTTAAAATTAATATATAAATCCTGTTGCCCTAAATTAAAATGAAAATCTCTACTTAATGGAAGAATACTAACACCCAGCCTTGCAATGTTATATTTCATTTTAGATATTCCTTTAAAGTTGTTTATAAATTTTAGCCTTTAAACAATAATCAAGTCAGGCATAGTAGTATATACCTGTAATTCCAGCACTTGAGAGGCTTATTCAGTAGGACTGTTGTGATTTTAAAGCTGGGGTACATACTGAGTTCAGGACAGCCTAGAATACCTAGCAAGACTATTTCAAAAAACAAAAAATATTTTTCAGTTAATCCTCGTAACCAGAAAAGTGGAGTTCAGAATATTTCATTGTAGAAAAATTCAGAATTCTTAATATAATTGTTTTCCAACTGGTATTGACTGGCTCAAAAAGCACAAAAATAATGAGTGAACCTGATATTATACTTAATATAAAATATGAAACCTTGTGTGTGCTCAAAACAGTCTTGATTATTCCTGTCTTCTGAGCTTTGAAAAGAACCTCACTCTCAAAACTGTCTTCATTTGCAAGATAAGTTATATGACCATCCTGTATATAATTTTTGTCATACTGAAAAGTGACTTATTGCCCTTTGAGAGAAGTAACCTGGGCAGGATGAGAGCTGGTACTGTTGTCAGAGTCTTTTCCTGGCCACTTAGCCTGTAAGGAGAAATTTAGTAATTTTTTAAAATAGGAGTTGTTTTTGAATGATTCCAGCTTAATGAATGATTTCAGCTATAAACAATTTTACATTTTAAACTGCTATTAAATGTTATTTTATTAGTTATTTAATTCAAACATTTATATGAAGTACTAGTATATTATTACTGGTTTTTTAAAACCTTACTCTTTTATAAAGTTCAACTGTTAGATGATAATGTGCCATTAACTATTATATGAATGCCCTTACCTATATATAAGACGTGTTGGCAGTGTATTTTATTTGTTAATAAAGTTGTATAGATGTGGAAGTAATAAAATTGTATAGATATGGTGCATCCTTTTGAAAAGCAATGTAAGATTCAAAACAGATTGTAACCATCTTGGCTTGATTGACATGTTTATGTGGCAGGCTCTTTAAGCTTTGAGGTGAAACAACTCTGGTGTGGAATTAGGTTAAGAATGCGCAACATCTTTGAACTTAATACAGTTGTTAAGAGATAGAATGCACCCGGCCAGGGATTTAGCTCAGTGTGTAAGTGCCTGCCTGGTAAGCTCGAGGTTGTAAGTTCCATCCCCGGTACCAAAAAAAAAAAAAAGAGAGAGAGATAGAATGCAATTTGTTTTAATAAGTACAAAAACAATCAACTTCTTGAAAATAATTTGTGTTCATTTCTTCTTTACAAAAAGTGATCACCATGTCAGTCGTAATTTGTATGTCTAATATGACCTCAAGTACAATAATGTCATGTTACTAAAAAATCAAAAAGTAATATCATCCTTTTTAAAAGTTAAAAGGAAAATGTTTATTTTTGAATTCAACATACTTGCTTGTTTTACTTTTTTAGTTTTCAGCGTAGATTTCATTTTTTCTAAAGTTTTTGTGTTGGGAGGTTGAGCTGTTTGCTTTAAAAAATTCTTTCTTTCTTTCTTTATTTTTCAGTACTGGGGATTGAACTCATGACCTTGTGCTTGCCAGGCAGGCACTTATGCCACTGAGCTAAATTCCTGGCTCTAAAAAGTCTAATTTTATTGAGGGCCACTTTTTAAAAATCCTAAGCTCACTACCTAAATAGAGAAAAGATATGGGTCGCTACCCCTTATCATCTGAGATGATAGCAAGACCAAAAAAATCACACTTTGAGTTTCCAGAATCTTAACCACTTTATTGTTCTACTACTTCTTTTGTATGTGTTCATATAACTAAGTTTAATTTACCATCAGCGATACAAGAGTTTATTTTCTCTCAGCTTTTCCAAAGTATAACAACGTCAGGAAGTAAAACAGAAGTTTTCCCAATGTTCAAATGAAATCTAAACATAGAAAACCTGACTAGACACCAATAATGAGTTATGATATTGAACCAGTAATAGAAAGTTCTCTCAAAAAAAAAAAAAAAAAAAAAAAAAAAAAAAAAACACGAAATCTAGAGATCAGCAGCTGCCTTTAGACTTTGGAAGGTAGCAAACAATCTTATTAGAAAGTACTAACTCTTCAGAGGTGTTAGGAACAGTACAGGTTCATAATTCCTTGTATTTTTATATATTTCTTTTTCCAGCAAATTTGGGTTTTCAGCCATCCAAATCTCAGAGTAGTGATTTGGTTTGGCTTTGTAATGGGACTCATCAGTTTTCCTATCATCGAGGCATAGTACTGAACTCCCATAACTTAACACAGGAGAGGATTAATTTAGCTCACAGTTTTAGGGGGTTCATTCTATGGTTGGTTGCTCCAAAGTGGGAACATCATGGTGGAAATTCAGAGTGGAACAAAGATGCTTAATTTGTATCAGCCAGGAAGCCAAGCAGAACAGTAGCAAAGAGAAAGGGACTAAGAACCATATACAATTCCAAAGGTCACGACATACCCAGAGTTGTGCTTTACTAATCCCCTGGCTGCTCTCAAGCCAGTTAAACTGACAGTTAAGCTGAATTCTCAAGTAATCTTTGTGCTTTGAGGCTGTACAATTTTAATTCCAATTTATTCTTTCAGGGAGAGAACCTAAAGATTCTTCATTGCTACCAAGCACTGGTAACTATCCACCCTAATAAGTAGTGATGGAATGTGAAGTGTGACTTCCAAAATCCAAATTTTTAAAAACGATGTACACACTAAGGGAGAATGTCAAATCAGTTCACTGAGAGCTATGAAAATTTAAAAGAAATATTTAGAAGTATTTAATCAAAATCTAAGTGTGGTGGCACATACCTATAAACTCAGCAGTTTCATACAATGAGGTAGGAAGATTGAAATTTCAAGCCAGGCTTGGGCAACTTGGTGACTTTGCAGAACCTTTTCTCAAAAAAATCTAAAAGGGACTGAGAATATAAGTCAGTGTGAAGACCATGGGTTTAAGGTTTATTTATTAGAACCATAAAGAGAGAAAATTAAATACATAATTTTAAAGTTATATTTTGTGTCTATTTTAAAACATGACTTTTCACCCATTTAAAAAAGTTTCTTGACTGACACATGAGTGTTACGAACTTTTAAAAGGCATCTGAACCATATATTTCTCGAATCCTGTGAGAACTAAATGGATTGATTCTTGTTTGATCAAGGACAGTGACTGCTACTCAGTAAGAAGTTTTGGGGAAGTTAACATGTTCCAGTGCAATAAATCTCTAATGATAGTACATGCGTTTCCAGAGTGTGAGCTTCGAGAATTTTGGTCTGGCAGTACTGTCATTCACTTTTTCATCATTGTATCCTCTTATCTAGCCCCTCACATTCACGTGATAGAAAATTCGAAGTACTAAGACGTGTATGTAAGAGTTGTTGCAGGGGAAGGAAAAGACATTTAAAATCAAATCTTACAGGGTTAACCAACATTTCCTGCTTCCTGCTTTGTGACCTCTGAATGAGGACCCTCTGGCTTTAATGCCTTTTTGGCGCAGTACAGCTTTGCAAGGCCACATCACTGGTGCATTGTGACAGTGGAACTGTTTTGCAGAGATGGTTGTTGTTTTCTCTGTAATTCTGTAAGGCAAGTGGAATTGGAGCACTGTTCCATATGGTTTCTTCTTCCTTTAACAAACGTACTTTCATCTGTCAACTTCCTTAGGAGCCTCATGGATTATTGAGAGAGGCACCTTTCCATAAGGGAAAAGGTGGGCTAGCGAGCTAGTTACCCCTAGACCCAACTGAATCCTCGGGTGTTCTTACCTGTTTATCAGGAAGCATTGTATGTACTTGAGATCTATGCAAAGAAAAGGAATAGCCATTGTAACACATTCTTGCTCTTTGTGTTCCTGCCTGGGCTACCTGACCAGGCGTAGCA